CAGGAAGGGTAGGCACCTCTGAGACCCCCCCGCCATCCCGCAGCCCCGAGGCAGCGCAGCAAGGGGCAGGGACCGCTGGTGAAAGAGCACAACTTCCACCCCGCCAGCGCTGGGCCGTGCCGACAGCCTTGCGCAGGGCTCGGCGGAAATGCCAGACTCTCCTGCCACGTGCAAAGGTACCTCCGGGGCTTCTTCCAGAACAGGAGTGCATCAGGCTGCCGGAGCCATCCTAAAACCCGTTCTTAAGGCAAATGTTCAGGCCCTGGCCAGACTGGCAGATGGTGAAATGCGGTTACAGCAGCAGCAATCAACCCTGGGGTTACGGGAAATCCATCTCCCAGGCAGCGGGCAGGAAGGCTGCGCTCTCAGGCAGAGGGCAACGGCCGCCAAAGCCGGCAGCGGAGCCTCGAGCCCTTCCCACGTTCAGCCCAGAAGCACAGACACGTCTCTCTCTTTCCCAAGAGGTGAACGGGAGCAGCGGGACCGAGCTGGAAGCTGGGTTACGGTTAAGAACAAGCTGTGGCGAGAGCTGGAGAGGTTGCTCCCCAGTGACCCCGGCACGGGGCGAGCATGCACCTCGCGCGAGGGCCGCTCTGTGAGCTCCCACCTTGGCAAGGCCGACACAGGCTGCAAAAATCAGATCCTCCAACATGTTTTGTCGGGAAGTGGGCTGACGCTAGGACTCTCATGGCCCACAGCAGAGCTCCAGATGTCTTGTACGTTGTTAGAGCGCACAAACTTGAGTTTTCAAGCAGAATAAATAACATTTGGAGGCCAGCTCTTCTCTGTTGAGCTCCAGCAGCGGTTCCCATTCACACAGCACCAGCCGTGATCTCTGGAGGGCTCTGTTCCTTGCAGATGCACCAGCTCCTTCTTCTCTGTCCCTGCCTTGGGGAAAAACCAGCAGCATTCCACGTCCAGCAGCTCATCCTCCCACTTCCATCACAGCTGAAGCTCTTGCCGCATGAGCCAGGCCGCTGAATGGGCAGCGACAATTTTTTCACATCATTCGTATGTGGGGGACCAGCACCTCTCTCCTTATCATCAGGAGCCCTCCTGAAAACAGCTCCCCACTACAGGGCTGGTCCTGCTTCTTCCAGGCAGGACGAAGGCATTGACATCGAGAGCCCAAGCGCTAGAGAAGGACGGATGCGTACATACGGGCAACGCGTGTCTCGCACAGCCTGTCGCGTGCTGCTGGAAGCCTGGCTGTCACCTTCTGCCCCACTCACAGCCACGCAGGGGACAGTTTCTCATTTACAGCCCCCTAAAATCCAGCTCCTCAAAGCAGGGCTGGAGAGAGAAGAGTGCGCAGGGTTCCCCACGTCTGCTACAGTTCTGACCACCCGCTGGCGGGGTCAGGGTCGTACTCAGTTGTGAGCAAGGCCCAGGTCACGCTGGCTGGATCGGGGAAGAAGTTTCGTTTCCAAAGGCAGCTGCAGCTGCCCACAGCTCGGCGCAGGGTGGGAGGGCCCTCTCTTCTCCGACAGAGCCCCTTCACCGTGCTCAGTGGTGGTGCAGCACCGCCTGGAGATCCTCCGGCAAGGAGCCGATGATGGTCTCGATGTAGAGGCCCACCCGCTGCAGAGTTTCCTCCTTCACAGGGAGGTGCTGGCACCTGGCTCTTACCTACGGGGAGAGAAACAGGAATTTTGTAACAGCTTCAAAGTTCCTCTTCCTGCTTCGCCATCCACTGAGCAAACTTCACATTGTCTCTTTAGTTGGGGGTAGGAGACGACAGGCAGGGAACTGTCACCTGGCCCCCAGGGAGATGAAGAGAGACAGAATGTTGAATCCTTTTCGACACAGAACACTAAAGTTTCACGATTGTTGCCCAAATCAGGGAGCAAGAACAAAGTTCTCTAAGCCACCAGTGTGAGCCATGTCCTTGGTCTCTCCCTGCCAGACGTACGGACTGGAAGGAACGAGTGCAGGAAGAAAGGAGGAAAACTTACCAGCTTCTCACGAAGTTTTAGCACCAGGTCTACAATCTCTACCTCGGACTTGTCCTTCATCCAGGCCACAATGTTCTAAAGAGAAAGAACAGCTTGCTTCAGGGACAGTTCTTCTTTACAGAAGCTTTCTCAAAGCGATACCCCCAAGCAAAGCCTGAAACAAAAGCGAGGAGGAGGTTTCTCATCCTCTTGCTCACAGCGCTTAAGCCTAAATGAGCACGACAGAGCTCTCCCCACTTTTCTGACCACGACAGCATCGAGCTCTTGCCTGCAAGAGAAGAATCAAGGCAAGAAGCAGCAATACACAGGCAGTGCGGGGCTCCCCTCCTCCAGCCAGCACTGTGAATATGGCGCTGTGCTCAGAATTGAAACCTATTTGTCAGTCGGGCCTGTTAAAAAAGGAGATGGCTTTGGCATTCCCCACAGCGAGGACCTGCGCTGCTGAACAGCGGCTGGAGATGCACCTGGGTAGGACGCCAGAGCTCCTGGGGTACCCCAGCAGCCGCTCAGCCTACGAAATTGTACCCGCAGCCACTGCTGAAAACCCTGCCTATTTTCATTGGGCATTTAGGAAGCCAGCAACAGACGATGCTTCCAGCCTGGTGCTCTGTTGGCTTGGGAAGGGCCCGATGAATGAAAAATAGGCGATAGAAGCAGCCAGAGCAGGACCTGCACTGGCTAAGAAAGCAGGGGAGCTGAGCTGCTCATCCTCTTGTGTCCCCCCCGCTGCTGTTCTGTGCACTGAGAGCCAGGAGGCAGAGCTGTGATTCCCACGGGCACAAAGCACCGTCCCCCATCCATCGGTGCGGAATGGAGATGCGCCAACACGTGTTCAAGGCAGCAGCGCCCTCAGCTCCCAGGTTTCGGGCCCAAGAAGTCTGGTGTTGGTTTGAATACCTGCAGCTGGGACATACCGCTTCACAGATGGCTTCCAAGTGAAGGGCCTCCAGCTTCTGGGTCATTTCCTTGTGCCTCTGACGGTACCAGCCATCGAAGTTGGGAGACTTGAAGAAACGCCTGCGGGAGGAGAGGCGACACTGAGAAGGGGGCAGCGGGGGATCTGGAGAAGCACGCTGGCTCCATTGCACGCAGATTCCCCTTCCTACTGCAGCAGACCCAGATGTGAGAGGAAAAGACGTTCTGATCCACGCTGTCATTGGGGGTGGGAACCCCTTATGAGCTAAACCGCTCT